GATTAGCCTACCACACAATTAAATTAGCAAAACTTGGCTATGGTAAGTCTCAGACATGTTAGAAAGAAACCCGAGCTGCCACTGCTACTGTTCTCAAAGTATTCCTACACAAGGACCAGTTTTGTCTTTTGAGAATTAGACTAGTTTGTGATTTTTATCCAATTGCTTCTTCACTTTCAAGCTGCCACTTTAATTAGCATCCTTTAGTCCAAGCTTTTCTGTTGAAGGGTAAGAGTATATTAAATAATGTGAACTTGGAAGGTGGTTGACTCTGGGGTATTTTTCACTGCACCAGTATCTGGGGTCATTGAACCTATCAAACTTGTTTGGGCCAGTAAGTAAGTTTCTCTGGATCTGTTCCTTTTAAGGAGTGCAGCTACTGTGAGTTACTGAGCAATAACATGCACAAAGTACACAGCTTGGCAAAGAAAATAAACGTGTTAGCTGGAAACTTTATCACTGTGTTAAACAACAAAACAAACAGGAACTCAACCACTCACCCTAAAGAGAAAGTCACACATGACTGTTAGTGCAAAATTGAGTTTATTTTCATCTCCCAATTTTGAAATATGCGTAACATTTGGGGTCTGTTTCTCTTTGAATCTCTGTATCCTACATAACTGTTTAATCCTAAGAAAAGCAGACATAAACCACTACCAAATAAAAATCTGTTTCCATTTTTCACAGATTAAAACAACCATGCTCTATGAAGGCCCAGAAAAAGCACCAATTTCTCATTTTTACATAGTTTTTGAGTGAATGACAGCAGAAGTTGCAATGCTCTTCTACCACTGCTGTTGCTCTGTAGTAGGTAAGAACATATTCTTAGCTAGAAAGAGTTAAGGAAAAGCATATATGTAGTTTAGGAGTAAAACTGAAATACCAAGTCTTCTGACTTGAAGTTCTCTCTCCATATCAGCAATACCCCAAAAGCCACTGTAAGCCATTGAAATACAACTACTTTTAACAATAGAAAAACTTAGGTTACTTCCCTCATTGAACCTACATTGATACAGTTCTGATCATGTTCTTCCTAAAGCATAATCTTCCCTGCTTCTGTAGAATTTATTATTGTTACACTTACTGCCATTTTGATTTAAGCTACTACTTCCATGTAAAGCACATAATAAAATATATCATTATGAAGTATCTAAAAGTTTCTCCTACTGCAGCTCCTTTCCAGGTTCCTACCCCTACCTAAAACAATATCCACTCTCTTCCTGGTTATTACAGAGCACTGCTTCTTGGTTTTTTTCAGTTGGTACCCTCCTGATTTGAAGATGACGTTCACTTGTAAGGAAGCATAACAACAACGAAAATGTGATAAGGAAAAGAGAGCAGTGTATGATTTTGTGTGTCTTTCATGCAAGCAGAAGAAAGAGGGAAGTACCTGTACCTGATTTACGATGTTGTGTACAAGATAGTCACTGAAAATTACTTCTGATTATCCTCTATGAGGTCAAATATAACTACCCCAATTAACAAAAAGGAGTGATTTAAAACTTTTCTCAATTGCATGCAAGCACAGCCTTTTCAGCTGCTTTTCAGCAATACAGACATGTCAGACTATCAGATGTTTGAGTTATAGGCATTTTTATATCTCTCCAGATTTTTTAAAATCTCAAACCTGCTCTTAGCAAACCATACACCTTTTTTAGCTGAGGGCAGAATTTTCACCACTGACATTTATATTGTAACCAGTTCTCAAGAGAAATCATACAGACACCAGCCTTTTACAAGCCGCTTTGGTTTTGGTAGCCTCCTCAAGATCACTAGGAGCTCATATGCCTGCGTCTGCGGGAGTAGGCATATCTGGTTAATGTCAGTCAGGCAGTAGAGTTAAAGGGAAATGTGCTGGGAGCTAATAACTAAATACCATTAGGTCTTACTGCTCTGCACAGCCTTAGAGCGTAGCTTTTCATAAAACCTAGAGGCTGCTACAGACAAAAGTGGTTTCAAGGTATTTTGAGTAGTTCTATTCCTTTTCAGCTGCACTAACAGAGATGTAGCAGCATTTTTGATAAACAAAGCCCTCAGGAGCCCTTAGCAGAAAATACTGATAGCCTTGTAATCTGCACAATTCTATTACTCAGCTACTGGATAATCAAACCATAAGCAGTGCAGGTTTATTCAAGAAAGCAAAAAGTAAGCTAGAAGAAATAGTACTGGCGATTGGAAGAAAGCTTACGCATACCACATAAATGTTAGTTCCAGGAATAAATTGCCCAAACAATTGCCTACATTATATTGACTTGCTCTCAGATGAAGAAACAGATGAAATTCAGTGTAATATGTCGGAAAGAGTTCTTCAGCCTGTTAAAAAATCGTACAGGTACGGAACTCCACAGTCACTGAGAAATTGTTTAGAATGCGACTGTGTGATGCACACAAAAAGCCCTCATCTAGAAGCCTAAGCCTGCTACCCATAAGAGATGGTAATCTGCGTAGCTTCCCTTTTCCTCTCCCTTCCTTTGGCTGCTGCATTATGATGATTTTTTGTTGTCATTGTGGTTACAGAATCACTGAGGAGGGAATTGGGGCTCTCCTCCATTGAAAAAGCATTTTTTATTGATCCTTCTTAAGTGAGCTGATGTACTCCTGCAGAACCATGGAGAAAAAATAAGCATCTGCTGGTGCTTACTTCTGCTTTTGAGTAATGCTAATAAAGATTAGAGATATACAGTAAGAATAAATTTGAACTTTGATTTTTTTCCCTTGGAGAACTAACCCTAATGTATGAACAGAGATATGATGTGAATTTTCAAAGTTGTTAGGGTAGTGGGAATTGTACTGCTGTGTACACCTTTCTGTCATTCACAAAAAAAACACCCTGATTCTGATATATATCTCAAACTGTATGCACTGGAAATCAAACACTATTAGACAAGGCAAATATTTACTTGCATGAGCAGTTAATAAAATTATTCACAGAACAGCCACATTTGTATGAAACTGCAGGATCAGCAAACTCAGAGGATCCTGACTCCTTTGAAGCCTGCCTGCATACTTTCTCATGTCAGTATGGTATTCTAAAAAGTTATTATCACTAAAAAGTGCAAAAATATTTAGCTTTCAAATTATGAAGCAACTCCTTTATAATTGCTCTTGAGATTTAATTGGTAAGGTGGAGACAATTGTTTTCCATAAACTGGAAATACTAAGCTCTTATTTTAGAAAATTCACATGCATCTGCTTATGGGGAAGAAATCAACAAATCAACCACTTATGTTTGTTTAAATCAATATTTGCTTATCTTGCTATTGTCTTATGGTTTCAGCTATCACTGTAGCATAAACATTGAGTCAAAAGGTTGCTTGGTATTAAATGCATTTGAAACTCCGCACGTTCAGAAGTTCAAGTATCATTACAAGGTTTGTTTTCTTGAGAATAAACCAGTAGAGAAAAAAATGGTATCAGGATGACAGAGTAAACTCCAAGGAAACTTTGAACACAGGCACAGAGAAAGCAAAGTTGAGACAAGAAAAACTTCAATAGTTTCATTCTTAATGCATACACAGTGTCATTATAAACCTGATCATCCAGCTCCTGCGCAATAAGTGTTCCATTGTCCTCCCCAGAAAAAAAAACAACACCCAACCACAAATCAACCACAAACCTCCCCCCAAAAAACAACCCCCCAAAAAGAACCAAACCCACAATAAAAAGGTTTTCTACATCTGAAATGAACTCAAAAAGAGATTTCAAAACCATGTGCTGATTTTGCAGAACTTCAGTAGAGTTAGAAAGTCATAAATACCATTTTGAAAACTTGTAAGTTTTAAAACTTGTAAATGAGACTCAAACTCTGGGACACAGAGTACGATGTAGGGTTACATTAGCAGATGTGTCCTGAAACAGCTGTGGAGGTGATTCTGCACAGAGAAAAGAAGGCACTGAACTGAAAAAAAAAAAAACTTTTTTTTTTTTTTTTTTTTTTTTTTTTTCAGCTGTAGGATCTCTGTCCTGAAAGGAGTTCCTACCTCAACCACCCTGGAGCTAATTTGCAATTTTAGTACAAGTGCCCGTGTAGCTCTTCAGAGCTACTGAGTCAAGCACCTTGCTTTCAGTTGTGTCCTCAGAGGATGGTAATAGTTGTTCTGTAGTACGTCAGTGCTTTTAATACCAATGAATAGCAAACATGCCTTTTTATAATAGCAACGCTAATTGCTATATACCTGTATTACCAGAGACCTTGAAATACTTGCAGCAGGCAGCAGCAGCAAAGCAGCCATTAGCTTAACCATGAGATACGGTAGGCTTCCAGGACATCGGAAGCCACTGGGTGGGAAGTGACCTGAAAGTTCTTCTAGTTCCATAGGGCACCCGAAACAGCCTTACTTTGTAGCTGCTCTGAAGGACACTAGTTTTCCTACTGCAGGCATGACTCAGATGCGACTTTCCATGACTGTGTTCCTTACAAAACACAAAGCAGTTGCTAGATTCAACCATGTAAGCAATGACTGAAATATAGCTAATTCCAAAAATCCCTCTAAAATGAAAACCAGCTGATGCCGCCCGCAGGTATGTCCCCTCCTTTTTCGTGCTTCCATCCTTGTTGGGATGTCGAGTGGGAAAACAGAAAGCAAGCCCCAGATACAGCGTTTCACGATACTTAACGTCTCAGGCCATCCCTCTCCCCTGCGTCCTCCTAACTTACTCCAACGGGTGTGCGCGGGGTTGCGGCTGGTGCTATTTTGGGGGCTTTTCAGTGTCTGTGAGGGTTTTCTGTTTTGTTTGTACGCAGCCCGCTCCCGTTAGCCCCGACGCGCTGCCGCCTGCCCGGGGCCCCTCTCCCTCTCACCCTGCCCGTGGCCCGCCTGCCCGGGGTCCCTCCAACCCCAGCTCCGTGCGCGGCGGGAGGAGGATCGTTCCCGCCCAGCCAGAGCAGGGGCCCGGCCGCGCCCGCAAACATTAACCACGTGCCCGTCCCAACCCGTGGCCCCTCGGGCACCAGGAGGGGAGGTGGCAGCCCCTCTCCGGGTGAGGCGGGGCCGGGCCGGAGCGGCTTCCCTCTGCTCCCCTGGGGTGGCGGAGTCGGGGGGCCATGGTCGGCTGCTGCTTCTCTGCGGAGGAGAGGGAGTCGCAGAGCATCAGTGCTGAAACCGCGCGGCAGCTGCGCCGAGACAAGCGGTACGTCCGCCGGGAGCTGAAGCTGCTGCTGCTGGGTGAGTGCGGACTGCCGTCACCCGCATCGGCCCGGCCCGGCACGGCCCGCCGGGTCCTGCCTGCCCCAGGCGTGAAGACCTGTTCCTGTTGGGGTTCTGCTAGTGCGGGGGTCTGTGCTGGTGCAGGCAGGGCTCGTTTCAAGTTGCCCCCGTGCGGCAGGGCTGGGGCGGGAGCGGCGGGTGCCGCTGCCCGGTGCGCGCAGGGTTGGTACACAGATGGTTCTTCTTAGAGACAAACCAAACCTAACCTAACCTAACCCAACCCAGACCAGCGGGCGCTGTGCGGACCCCGCGGTGTTGTGTACGGGAATCCTGTGGTAAGAAGTAACAAGGGAAATAGAGCTGCAAGCTCGGTAACGGTGTTTGCGCGCCTCGCCTGCCTCGCGGTGAGGTGCAGCGGGAGGCAGCACCAGCCTGCTAGCGGCACTGCTGGGAGCATCGCTCCCGAGGCACCGCTGCCTGCGTCAGCCACTTGACTTTCTCCCTGAGTGCTGTTCCGCTGGTCGTAGTTCAGCTTGGCGGATGCGTTGGTGAGAGCTCCACCGCAGATGAAGCTGGCGGCTTTCAGCCTCTCGGGTTGTTGCTGCTCCATGCAGACGCAAACACGCCTCCGTTAGAGCTCTTGCTGCTGAGATACAGGCGGGGGAAAAGAAGCCCCCAGGAGTGTCTGAAAGAAAACAAGACACTTAGACCTATCAAATACAAAATCGTAAACTAAGGTGAAGTAGCTTCAGTCTAGGGAGAGTTTTATTTTTCTCTGACAAACAGAAAAACAGCTCGATGCAGAAGGTCCCAGGCATCAAAGCTCGCAGTGTGGGAGCAGCATCTCTTGCTGTAACCAGTGCCAGAGGAGAAGTCTTGTGTCTCCAGTGGTGCCCTGTCCTAGTGCTTACACTCCCTTGCTTACTCTACTTTAATCTCTGCTTCAGTCAGGTCAAGATGTAGCGGCCTGCATAGTGGAACTCACCAAATAACTGGCCAGGCTGCACACACTAAAGTTTTTATGAACACTGAACAAAACTGTTTATCATGAACTAAGTCTGAACTGACTGCTCTCAGTGTTAATTAAAAAGTGATTTGAACAGGAAACCCAATAAAAAAAAAAAAGGAAAAAAGAAAATGAAACCCACTAATACTGACTTGCTTTCAGTGCCTTGTATCCCGTTGCTACCATCTTTGCCTATTACCTGCATAGAAATCTGTGGTTATGGTGAGGAGAGCACATGGATAAACAGCCCTTGAGAGGCAGCAGTTTTAAGAATTTACATAAAAATGGTAGGCTGTCAGTACATTGACTCCTGATGGGAAGTAGGAAGATCTCCAATCAGACAAGACCATGACAGATTTGAGTGTAATAAGGATGCATATTTGATAGACTTGCTGTTGTAGCCCTTTATTTAATATTAATCACCTGGAAGAATTCATATGGGTTGTCTATGAACCTTTTTTTTTTCCCCCCTTCAGTTTTAGGCCATGTTTTGTCAAGAAAACAGAGCAAAAAACAGGTTCAGGCTTTACTGAAAGGTTTGCTGTTACGCATGGGATGCTGTAGTCACTTATCAATTTTCCCATTTAAAGCATAAGGTTAACAGAAGAAATCATGAAGCTACGGGACTGAGCCGTGAGATGCTCTCACATGCTTTGGAGGTCCTAAAATAGCAAAGGAATTGATCAGCACTGCTTTTTTGCATTTCTCAGAGAAGTGTCCTGTGTTTACAGAGGGAATACGCACAAGCATGTGTATTTTGATTGGCTTCTCACTGCAGGAGGAAGTCCCATGAAGACTTATCTGATTCTGAGAATTGGACCATGGTCTGAAATACGTGATGGGCGTCCTTCTGTAAGAACTGTCTTCCTAATTGTGCCAAAAAAAGAATGAGTTTCTAAACATACTCAACCGTAATTTGGTATGAAGCAGTCCAGTTTTACGTTTTCACTTGGGGACAGAAGCACTGTGTTAAACCAGGAATTTGCATACAAGTAGATGAAGTGTTCTCTGGCATTCATTGCAGTAGCAAGACATCTCTTTCAACCTGTTGTTTCCTTGAAAGAAGTGATTACATTTCTCCAGGAAACACAATCTTTCTGAGAATGGGAGAGTTTTAGATGTGTCAGCTCAGTTTAATCTTTTGAAGGCACTGGACAGGCTGACATTCATGGTTGTTCTAAAACACAGTTTATTATTTTTGAGTAAGAAACCTGTCTGTGATGAAACTGATAACGCATTTGCATAAGTCAGAAAGATACAGAGAAAGGAAATATATCCATGTAAGTCTAGTGATGGTAGAATCCATCTTAACTGACGTCCTTCGTAGAATCATAGAATCAGAATAGTTAGGGTTGGAAAGGACCTTAAGATCATCAAGTTCCAACCCCCCTGCCATGGGCAGGGACACCTCGCTCTAAACCATATTACCCAAGGCCTCGTCCAACCTAGCCTTGAACACTGCCAGGGATGAAGCATTCACAACCTCCCTGGACAACCTATTCCTATTGTAGTAGATTTGTCGCAGTTAATCTAAAATAGAAGACTGTATTATTTAATCCCAAATAAGCATTTTTTGGTTTAATAGTAAGCTCAAAGAGCCAAGACTGAGCATCTAGAGTGAACAGGATTTTTTTTTCTCGGTACACTAATGGCTTTGCATGGTTTGTCAGTTTTCTGCTGTAGGTCTTGTAATTGCCAGAAACACTCTTTGATTTTTTTTGAATGTGGGTTTTAAGCATCATTTTCATACTGTCAGTAAGCAGATCTGTCTGTGGTGAATGAAAGGCTGGTGAGAACCTTAAGGGCTCAGACAGAGCTGAGTTAATTAGTGTGACTGTACCTGAACCCGTCTAAGTCTTGGAGGGCACAGTGAAGACATCTTAGCCTGTGCAGCTCCATAACTCACTGCAAATACAGATCAGATAAAAAATGCTGCTGTGTTTCAGCTCCTAACTGTTAACAGGCAACTGTGGCTCTTGGTTTGTCTTTTTGGGATGTGTGTGCTAGAGGAGTGCTTATTGTGCCTTCCTCCAAGCTCTCTGCCTGCCTTTGTCAGACATATATTCTTCCTTATATCCAACCTGAACTTCCCCTGTTTATGTTTAAACCCATCACTTCTTGTCCTATCATTACAGTCCCTGATGAAGATCATAGAATCGGCGCCCAACCTGGGGAAACAATAGCATAGTAGGCAAGGCAGAATTAGAATTATCTGAAGTGATTGTTTTACTTAAAAGGGAGATTAGTGGGTAGTATAATGTAGTCATCTTTACTCTTCCAAAAGAGAAAGAATGAAGAAATGAATTATTTTTATGTTATTAATCTTCTGTTACTTGCTGAGTGATTTTTGTTAGGACTGCCTTTGGATACTTTGTTCCACCTTATTTGCTTTGTTTTTCTTTGTATAAGTTATGTTTTTTGCCTAATACTAGTGGAAAGAAGTACATTGAGTAGTATCCACTTCGAAACAGAAATACAAGGACTAGCTTAAAATAAGTACTCAGAATTCCAAAGCTCCCTCATTATGCAGGAACACCATGTATGAAGTACTGCCCACTGAGCTCATATAAATGAACTTGGGAGCTTATGCATCGCAAGCTTTGATTTCTGAAATTCTGAGGAACTGCAATTGAAAACCAAAGCCTGACTCTTGTCTGAGTTTCTCTCTGAGGAGCTGTGGCTGGGTGAACTAAGCAATATATTGTTTTGCTTTCACAAAGCAAACAAAATACAAAGCAAACATACATTCATTTTATCTAATTTGGTATGATTCATAGTCTTTTCTACGACCCTTCCCAAGTGAATGACCTGCTTGACTGTTCATATAGATTAATAAATTGCTCTGTAATATCACAATCACAGTTTGCTTATATAGTTTTAACTAGATCAGATGAAATGATGATGTACTGTTTTTAATGATCTGTGTAGTATTCATAAATATATCTAGCTGGCTACTTTCTCTTTTTTCCTCCACAGTAACTTAGTGTGAGTGAAAGCACCCAAAGAAGCAAGGACTGCTGTATGCCATTCCTTTACTTTCCTTTCTTAAGGGTTGCTGTAACTTATCTTTATTGATTTATAGCTACTATTAAATACAGTTTTCCTATTAAAAAAATCCAAAAACCCCTCAAAAAACTCCAAAGTCTGTCATGTGTCACCAGGTCACTTTTTTTCCCCGCTACATAAGCAGAAAACATCTCCAAGTAATAGATGTTGATTTTATGTCTAGTAAGTGCTGAACCATGACAGATTAGTGATTGGCTTCCGCTTGAATGTGAAATGATAGAAAGCCACTATTAATTTTGTTCCTTTTTGGTTTGTGGTCAACCAATAGTCAGTTTGAACCAAATAATGCTTCTGAAGGGGCACTCCTGTAGGAAAGAATAAAACATACAAACTAAAATATTGTCCTGGGAAACAGTTTAGCTCTACGTTATGCAGTAAAATATTAAATACAAGCTCTAGTTGTTATGTTTTCCTTTTTACTTTTTCTAAACACTTCTAGATCTAACAGTTTTTCCACTGAGGAAAACAAGTTAGATAACTTTTTATGAGCAGTAGTGTACGAATTCTTGCCTCAAGAACCGTTAGTTTGAAATGTATCTTCAAGGCCCTTGAGATCTATTTTGCCACTTCCTCATGTTGTAAATGTACTGTGTTTAATTTAATCTCTTCAATTTGGGCAGTCGTCTAAGCCTGCAGCTTCATTTGCAAACATCAGAACCGGATCAGAGCTAATCTGGAATTTGTTTTCCAGAAGATGTGGACATAACCTTTTTTTTTTTGCATGCAGAACGCATGTTGTGGCGTCCAGCATATTGGAAGCTTATCTCGGCTATGTTACTTTTCTCTGGCTTCAGTTTGTTTCAATGTATTTGCATGTTGATCTTTGGGTTTCTTTGCATTTTTTTCTTTTTCTCTTTTTTTTCCCCAAAGGTCCTTTGAACTTCATTTAAAAGCTGTTGCATGTAGCTGCCTTTGCAAAGTAAGCATTTGGATCAGTGTCATGGAA